TTCTACAAAACTTGCCCTTTCCTAATACCTCATGGTTTGCCTGTTGGAAAATACACTAAAGTGACTGATATAGTTAATGATCTAGGGCCCACCATGTGCCAAGAATGGAACACATAATCTCATTTCATTTTCAAAACCTCTAGAAATTTTATAGTACATATTTTACCTTTAAATATTTAGTTTACTTGGAATTGATTTTTTTGTGTGGTGTAGAGTAGGGATTTAACTTTCCCCCTAAATCATTACTTGGTTATCTTCCACTTACTGAATGATCTTTCTTTCACATGCTCACTGATTTAAAATAACACCTTACAGTACATATGACATTCTTATGTGTACTTGAGTCTTCTAAGATGAGCTTTCTATTCTGTTCTATTATCCTCTGTCTATTCCTGCCCCTATTCCCCACTATTTTAATGATGCACCTTTATCATATATTTTGATAAAGCCTCTCATTTCACTCCTTATACCTAACCACACTCACAAAATGTCATCAGTTTTTTTTTTTTTACATATAATTTGTTTTCCAGATAAACTTGAGAATCATGGGTGAAATTTCATTTAAAACTCTTACTTGATAATTAACATTTATGCACCCTACCAGAATGCTCCTCAATTCATAAAGCATACCCTATTGGATATGAACAACCTGATATCTTCCTCCACTATAATAGTTGGAGATTTTAACACCCCTTTGATAGATCTCCAAGAAGAAACTAAATAAACAAATATTAGACTTAAACCTGACCCTAGAACAAATGGACTTTACAGACCTCTACAAAACATTTTACCCTAATAAAACTGAATATACATTCTTCTCATCAGTCCATGGGTCATCCTCCAAAATAGATCATATCCTAGGACTCAAGTCTAACCTCAGCAAATTTAAAAGTATAGAAATAATTCTTTGTATCTTCTCGGACCACCATGGGATAAAAGTTGAACTCAACAGCAATGGGAAATCTCCATACTCAAACAAAGTTATGGAAGCTAAATAATCTTAGGCTGACTGATAGCTGGGTCAAAGATGAGATTAAGAAGGAAATCACCAAATTTTTGCAACTAAATTATAACAAAGACACAAACTATCAAAACCTGTGGGATACTGCAAAGGCAGTCCTAACAGGGAAATTTATAGCATTGGAAGCCTTCATCAAGAAAACAGAAAGAGAGGAAGCCAACAACTTAATGGATCATCTCAAGCAATTGGAAAAGGAAGAACATTCCAACCCTAAACCCAGCAGAAGAAAAGAAATAACCAAAATTTGGGCAGAATTAAATGAAATTGAAAACTAAAGGACTATTCAGAAGATCAATAAAACAAAAAGTTGGTTTTTTTAAAAGATTAATAAATTGGTAAACATTTGACCAACCTAACCAGAAATAGAAAAGTAAAATCTGTAATATCATCTATCAGAAATGATAAGGGAGAAATAACAATAGACACTTCAGAAATTAAAAAAATCCTCAATGATTACTTCAAAAATCTCTATTCCCAGAAATATGAAAATCTGAAGGAAATGGACCAATACCTGGAAGCACACCACCTTCCTAGACTCAACCAGAAAGAATTAGAAATCTTGAATAGACCTATATCAACCACTGAAACAGCATCAACAATAGGAAATCTCCCTAAAAAGAAAAGTCCAGGACCACATGGCTTCACATCCGAATTGTATCAAACCTTTCAAGAGGAACTAGTACCTATATTATACAATGTTTTCCAAAGCATAGAAAAAGAAGGAGAACTT